CCCCAAAACCCCAAAACCCCAAAACCCCATTATCCTAATTTAGTGATACTAGTGGTAAATTCAAAATAAAATATTTAAAAAGAATTAAATCATAGATAGCCTAATATGGCATAGTTTGACTTGAATATTTTTAATTTTTTTGAAAAGTCTATTTGATCATCATTTTTTTGTATTAAGTGAAAGCTTACCCATTTTTTCTGAGTAAAATACCTTTCCTAGATAAGTTAGAGCAAAAGCAATAACTGAGCAAAGAACTGGAGTTATACCGATGATTAGCCTAAGAGGTTGTTCGCTTTAATTGTAGTAAGCCGTCACTAGAAAGATCAAAATACCATTTGTAATCTTCTCAAAAAAGCTGTAAGCACCGTAAACAAAAGCTGAACTAGAGTCATCTTTCCCGATAACATCTGAGATCAGACTAGTGGCAGTATTAAGCATGATTGCGAGACCTAGACCTTGAATTGAAGAGAGTACATAAACCATCCATTAAAGATTTGGGTCGCTATTCAAGAAGATGTAAGGAATGGATCCCAAAGAAATTACTATAATTGAAACAAAGAAGGGTATGAATCTGTTCTGTAATAGATTCATCAATTTCTTATAGAAAAATAGCGAAAAAATCATTGAAGTAATGTAAGATACAAGTGGGACAAGAGCCAAAGCGATTGGAGTAGGATTTTCTTCAGTTTTTACAAATCCTGTGACAGTAATCAAATAAAAAGGTTGTACTGACATGGTCACGTTCACTGCAATCCTGGTCATCATATAAACGAGTCCGTAGATATAGAACTAGCCTTCAGCAAGCCAATGATACCAAAGTTTAATTATACCACTATGACTGTCAGATCTTGATTATGTTAAAGCTCTTTATCTTTTTTCTGCCTCAAAATCAGGGCTTTTAATCTTTTTGAATGCTTTTTGGAGTCTTTTAGCTTCTTTGACAAGAAAAGGTTCTCTTAATGATATTAAATAGAAAATGCTTGTCAATGTTCCAAATACTGCAATCGTAAATCCAAGTACTCTGAATTGCCATATTTAATCTCTTAGAAGGACAAAAATAATAAGGGCAGAAGTTAGCACAGTAAAATTAGCAACATAAGTAAAGCCATTTCTAAGAGAAATAAGCCTATCTCTTCTTTGAGAACTAAAAGTTATTGAGTTTACTATTGCCATATTTGATATTTATACGCAGGCAAAGCCAATGTTAAAAGTTGAAGCCAAAGCAATATAGTAATAAACTTCAGAAGTTTGGTCTAGTTCAGGGTATACAAACAAACAAAAGATAGATGGTATTACTAAAATACTTCCTGCTAGATACCAGGGGGCTCTGGCTCCGATTCTAGTTTTACATCTATCACTTCCAAGGCCCACTATAGGAGTACTAATACCGTCAGCAACTTATCCAACTAACATAACGAATCCTGCTATAACTGGATCCAAACCGACTACCTCTTGAACATAATATAGCACATAAGTGAACCAAATAGACCCACTAAGGTCATTATTAAAATGTCCAACAGCGTAAGCTGCTATTTATCTCGGACCGAGGCCATCTCTTTTCAAGCTATTAATGTCAATAACAGTAGGGACTGTGCTGTCCCATTATGTTGTGGGGTTTCCCCCTGCCTTATAGAATGGATTTAGACCAATTTTTTCCTCGTTTATCTCAGCATTAATAGAGTTATTGTCCCTTGCATCATCTTGCAAAAGTTTGTCACTAGATTCCCTCCAGCTCTAATTAATTGAAGTGTCTTCGCTTGAATTCATGAAAATTTATTTGCGTTGCTTTAAATCTAAATTACTGATAATAGTGATTTTCTTATTAATGTCCTTTAATTAATATGTTTAAAGATCAATTTATTGAGTAAAGATTCTAATATTTTTTTAAACACTTCTATGCCCAGGGGTTTTGGGGTTTTGGGGTTTTGGGGT